AATTTGTTCCGTTTCAAGGGTGAGAGTCACATAAGAATATTAAAGGACATTAAAATGTACATTAATAATATTGAATATTAAACTGTCAAAACAAAGCGGTCACCGGTGACCGCAACCTATTGTTCTATAATTGTGTCTAGAGGTATAATGACGGTACTCGACGAGTTAACCTAATGATATTAACTTAATGATAAAGATGAGGAGGAGGAGGACAGATGAGACCCAATAGGGCTGATGCCGCGGAGGACTTAACGGGTTACCGGGGCTTCGGCTCGTAATGCAGGAGTATGTACAAGGTGGTTTTAAGTCAGTAAGACTATTATATTACTACTTACTTACCCGGACGGGACAATTAGTAGTTGGATGATTTTTCTCCTCAAAAAAAAGATAGACTGGCCGAGAATGCTCTAGAATTTAAGTCCGCCTTGTGATATACAGAATATAAAATTAAAATAAAATAATGACATAATTATTAAGTTTGTTAAAAATATTGTTAATTTAAATCTTCGTATTTGCACGTAGTTTAGATACAAGAATGAGTCTACCGCACAGGATAACAGTATTTTGTAAAAGCACGTAAGCCATAAATGTAGTAGGTATTCTATGTTGCGATAGATTAGGCACAGAAACGTTACATTAAAAATTAAAATAAATATTATGCACAAAACATTTTAATAAAATGTAATGGTTACAAAACGACAATGTTCTAAGTGTATAATTAATCTCATAACACAAGAACAACTGTATCAAGTTCAATATTTATATTTATTTATTATTAATGTACACAAATACAACACAAAGGTCAACACTTATATAAAAATAATACATACATGAACATATATAAATTAATTATTATATTTTCCGGATTACTCACGTAATCATTTGACGAGGAACTCGACTAGTTTCAAGCCATGCTAGAGGCTCATATTCATGAACAGTTTACGTGAGTAATAATCCGAAAAACATAATAATTAATTTAGTTGAATATACTTTTTTATCTGTTAATTTAAAGATTAATTATTTTTATAAAAATAAATAGCACTCGCATTACATCGCGACACTCCACTAGTACGCAAAAAAGTACTTATTTCAGTAATAAAATATTATTTACAACGATAATAATTTTTACCTCAATTTTTATATCAATTTCCGTGATCCGACTAATGTACTGTTAACATGATATAATAAGAGTTATTAACAATATTCTTACGTTACTTATTAATAACATAACATTTCAATAATTATTATAATTATATAACTTCTGTATTGGTTGTTAATAAATCTTGTTAGGTGTATGCATTAATACATAAAATGATAATAAAACAAAAAGAAGGAGATTATTTAAAATGTTATAAAATTTCTTAGGATTTCAATACAAATTATTATATTATAGATGCAACTGACATAAAACCCTAACAACAGCATTGTTTTATTACCAGTTAACAGACTATCAATTTTATTGTCAAAGTTATTACTTTCTCATTTCCCAAGTTAAGCAATAAACATTCCGCGGATGTAAGTAAAGTATTATTGTGTTATTAGTTGTATAAGATGAGGCTGCGTTATAATATAACTGCGGTCGCGACCTGAGGCAACTTCCTATATTTCAGCATCAAAAAGCTTCGATGTTTAATAAAGTTGGATAATGTAATTTTGTGTTATGAATTGTCAATAGTGTTAGGTACAGGATGAGTATAGTCATTTTATAGTAAGACCTATTTCATTTCAATTGTTTATTTATTTATTTATTTATTTACTTATACTTTCTTGCATACACAGGAAAAAATTGTAAGCATTTCAATAGTAATTTGAGTACAATGGGCGGTCTTATCACACGCGGCTATTTCTTCCAGACAACCTTTTAATAGAATTTTTGAAAAGAATCTGGGAATGGGTGGTAGATGCACAATAAAAGAAAACCAAAATAGAAGAAAAACAATATAAAACAAATTAAACTATCAATGAAACTTACAGACTACATATAATACATAAAAGATAAAAATGGCAATACTATGTAATAAATATATACTGTTTAATTAGTCATGGAGTGGCTAAGTATGAAAACATGATCGAAGTGGATTTTGATAAATAAAAAAACGTGTCGCCACGACGCGGGTCGCGGAATGCTGCTCATGAATATGAGCCCCTAGCATGGCTTGAAACTAGTCGAGTTCCTCGTCATATAGTTACGTGAGTAAGCCGAAAACATATTAATTAAGGAAAAAAATTGTTAAACCTTTTTGGTAATATTATTACTATTATTTACTTAAAAATGCAACCTTGTGTATAATGTGTACTATTGACTGAGTCTGAGTCTGACTGAGTCAATTGTGATTCAGGTTTTAGGATCACCCATAAAGCGTTACGACTAGTTAAACTATTCCTAGTTTCTTGGAAACAAGCTGGCTTATGTCATTCAGTATTTATTCATAAATTCAACTTTATGTAGAAATCATGAAGGTATCATTTACATGAATTGTCACTTGTCACATAATGCAATATCTCAACAATAGAGATTTGCATCAAGTATCGCGTTATGTGACAAACATTGAGTCATACGAATTGTTACACGAGGAACAGTTATCTTTGTCTAATTGTAAATATTTGGTACTTATACAAAAACAAAGAAATAATATAATTAAAATTTAGTTTCAGATAATAAATATAAACATCAATGTCTCGTCATCAAATAAGATTAATTACCGACTTCATAAAAAAGGAGGAGGTTCTCAATTCGACTGTATTTTTTTAATTATTGTTTACAAGTTCTCTAAAGTAAGGCAAACCGGTAAAGTCAAAGCACTTATTTTAATTGCTCTTTACAAAAACTCGATATTTTTATAAACTAAGCCAAACGCATTAAAAATCTTTCGTTTATCAATAATAATAATCTGCAAGTTAATTGATGTTATTGACTGAAATGAATATTTACATTACGGTACTTTCTTTTTATTTAGGATGTGCGTTTAACGGGTCTCAAATGTAAAAAATCAAGTGTCAATAAAATAAATATCAGAAACACGGTCACGACGGATATGGAAGCCCAATTCTCTTAAAAACACATTTAACATAAAATCACACTGTCTTTCCTCGAAGGGATAGGCAGAGATGCACATTACAGCACTATACAATGTACGATGTAACACACAATTTTCACTATTTATGTTATGAGTCCCATGTAATAGGAGAGTCCAAACTACGGTGTCTGGAATTGTAAAAAAATCTCTCAGGATTTAAAAAAAAAGCCCAGTAATAGATACTTTGCCCGACCCGGAAATCGAACACGAAACCGCTTGCCTGGCAGTCACACTTGCAACCACTCCAAAACCACTTAAAATAAAATAAAGAAGGCAGTCTTAAAAACCACTTTGAATAAAATAAAAGTACAGTTAGTTATATTCCCCTTTGGAATTCAAAACGCACTTCCAAGAGTTTCAAGAAATCGGAACTCAATCGTGATAGCTAAGGTTATACCATAAAACAACGGTTTTCAGGGTTCCCCACACTTCAATATAAAAACGGGACGTATGGTAGTTGCATTATCAAGATAAGTCAAAAATTATCACCTTGACTTGTCACCAGTAGTCTCGTAGACAATACTAAAACCTTCATAGAAGGTCGTGGATTCTATTACATATAGTGATAGTGTTAGGTATATTAAAAAAGGTGTTGTTTTTAAATATAAGGTAAATATAAATTAACGACTGCACGGTTGGTGCGGTGGCTGGGCAACCGGCTGCCGTGCTACGTGTCGCGGTTTCGATTCCTGCACGGAACAACACTGTGTGATCCACAAATTGTTGTTTCGGGTCTGGGTGTCATGTGTATGTGAACTTGTATGTTTGTAAACGCACCCACGACACAGGAGATAATCCTAGTGTGGGGCAATGTTTAAAAAAATATATATTTTTCCTGTTAAGATAAATACATTATTTTAGTCGTGCAATAAAAATGAGATGAAATGTCTGTCCCAGTGTCGCACGGGTAAATAATTGCCTGTGTTACCTCTTGATCAAATAGTTTTCTATTAGTGGAATAACGGTCAAAATGAATCTTGCAGGTTCGGTACATTCAACATACAAACCCACAAACAAATTCTGTTTACAATATTAGCTTACTTTACTGATAAAACAAAAACTACAACTTACATCGTCTCGATCTTAATAACAGACTTCATTTGTAATATCACTATTTTCTGTACGGAACCTCACTTACGACGAAAGTCCCGCTACAAAATAACGAGACATTCCCGAACTTTTTCTCATTAAGTGCTCGCGCCAATTATTTCGACAATCCATGTTATATACAGTATGTATGTAACATAACTGTTTGCGCAACAGTTACTGTTGCAGGTACAATCAGATATTGCAAGAGAGCTCTGCATTCAGTTTTGTAACCTTTTATTTAGTAGCTATAATGACAACTGTGTAAGAAAAGTGCACTAGATCGGTGTCGTTTGTAGGGTTATGAATGGAACAGAGTAACTACTTACATTGCAATAATAATGGAAAGTAATGTTTTTGTTTTTGTTGATTTCAGCTACATTGCAATCTGTTTTTCAACAATAAGCCTTCAAGAGCCATATTTGTATGAAAGTTTCTTTCACACGGCTCTCTTATTGTCAAGTGTTAATGATAGTGGAATGTAATGTTAGAGAAAAAAATGTGAAATACTACAAAATAAATACATATAGGAATCGATCGATGTATCTGTAATATCTGCTTAAGGTCGCACAAAATATTGTAAATATCATCCAGTTTAGTATCTTCATCAAGACTTAAACAAAGCAAAGATTGGTTAGAATAACGTTAGACTGAGAGTGTCTCCAAATCTTTATTTCTGTGGCCGGTAGACAATGTGGCGACAAACGTATAAATCGCTTCGCAATATACTACAGACTATCGGTCAAATACGACAAATCGAATTTGTACCGTAGGACTATGGTAATAAAATATTATTTATACAAAATAGATTGAAGGAGACCAATGCAATGTACTTACAATTTTTCTTCCATAGAGCTCGTTGTAACTTTCCCGGAGTGATTACTCTCCGCGTCTATATCCTTGACCTGGAAAAAGGAAAATGAACTTTAAATACCAGTGTTTACTTCACGCCATCATAATAACTGCTTGGCTATAGAGTTTTAGTATTTTAACCACAACTTCTACTACTAACTATTGTGGAATCTTCATACCATCCTAGAATAGATATACATATAACACATAGCATTTATTATATTGAAGTTTGACTAATAATTCTGTCATTAAAATAATCCAAATGATCAATTCATTCAAATCGTTTTAGCTGTTATTTTTTAGTTATAAAAATGAGAATAGAAATATAGTTATTACATGTTAACTAATAATTTACATTGCATCTAAATTTTATTATAAACCCATAAAATAATCGCGCTCATACATACGAACATAATAAGTTTAAATTAATGTTTAAAATACTAATTAAAGTAGTTAGCGATAAATTAAGTTAATAATCGACGTAATTTTGTTTAATTATTTAATGCTTATAATTCAGATTTTATATTATGTTCAGAATGTTTTTTTTTATATAATTACATATAAACCTCATTTCTTTTAATCCCCGAAGTAATAACGTGAACGTGCACATAATTGTATACCTTGTTGGCGAGTACGTAAAATGCCTATGCATATTTTATATGCGTAAAGTATTATATTTACATAAATAAAAACAAATTATGTACGAGTCCCATGTACTAAATAATTAAATTGCAATACATCATAATCGATATCATAAATTGATTTATGAATATTAAATATTCACGGTGATTTACAGAAATATTAAATTTTTAATGTGGTGTGAACTTTACAAGTAGGTAGTAATTACATTAATATCATGTACTTAGGTACTCAATGATTTTGACATTTGATTAATTTATTTTATAACTTTTATGGTTATTTATTATTGTTAATATATAATTTAACATTTAATGTACTAAAACAGTAAATGGATTAAACCTAGATAGCGCCCTAGGCGACCAGCTCATTGGCGCCCCTAATCTATTTTGGCACTCCCCTTACTCAAAACTCAATAGGTACTATAGGCACGCGCGTTTCGCGACGTCGCGGTGTCCCTCTTTACCCTGGCGTCCTAGTCAATTGCCTAGTTTGCCTTAGAAATAATACAACTCTCACCATCATCGTCATATAGACATCCTATGCAGAACATAAACCATCTACTACTAAACATGACTTCAATATTGGTCAGCGTCGGAAGCACCATTAATAACATGCAATAATAAAGATCACACAAGAAACATCAGCAGTATTACTTCACAGTGATGTAATACTGTAACAGTGAGCGTGTCTCTCAATACTACGGGATCGGTAGTAATAGCCGAAACAATAAGACGACATCACTCATTGTGATAGCGCACGTAACATAAACAATGCGTGTGCGCCGTGCGCGTGAGTATCTATTCTTCTTACTCGTTCATAAAGAATACTCGAAAATCGATCACTGTTTTCATTTCAAGAACATCGATATGATATTCGGTAGGTATGTCTTTGACTCATACTTCACCTCATACGAGATACCCATGTGATAGTGATAATGGGATTTATAATGCAACTGGCGAAAAAGAATTATTACATTCTGATTTGATGAACTTTTGAAAGAGGTTCTACTAGTTTTTCCCAGTAAATTTTGTTTCTGGGATTGCTACAATATGGATGAATATCGTCTGCCATTCACAACCCCCTTAGGAAATGACGACATATTCTTGGTAATGTGAGTTAGGTACATTCCATGACCTAAAAACCTAACATCTTATCTAGTTGTTTTCATTTTGTCACCTGAACATAATTTTGACGAATGTTACACCCTATCTATGCAACCTATGTCACCGATAGTGTATCATGCATACCCATGTAGTTCTAATTCTACACCACTGGAAAATTTTACGAAGAATAACTTAAAAGTCACGTTTAGACAAAAACTGGAATACCTACTAGAAAATTCGCATGCAAATGCCCTGTTTGCAAACCCAGAGTTCAGTAGTTCTACTATTGACTTGCAGCTACTAGCTTAGCAGCTATCCTGAAAGCTGAAAGAGGTCAACGGATGATCAAATACCTCCTTCGACATACTCTAGAACCTATACCTAGGACATAACTTAGTTCCCAAAGGTTAAGATGACGGGATTTAACCATTAACTTCAATTAAACTGTCAAACACAGCGAGGACACCGGTGACCGCAACCTATTGTTCTTTAATTGTGTCTAGAATTACGGTACTCAAAGGGTTTTTGTTTATTTATTTTTTAAGGGGGGAAAATCATCGAATGACTGCTCCCGCCTGGGTGAGGCGGGAGGGAGTGTCAGACTCTTACTGACTAAAAACCACCCCGTTCCTTCTCCTGCACGTCGAGCCGGGGCCCCGGTTACCCGTTAGGTTCTCCGCGACGTACTCAAAGGTTAAGTACAACTTACATGTACAAATTGACCTTGAGAAGTACTCAATAAAGTTGTGTTACTGAAATATTAATTTCCACTAGAGTAAACACAGAACAGGCAATCAGTTGAAGTTAACAGTGAAACTGACTGACGTTGCAAAATGATTACTGATCAAAATAGAATTGCTTTGACAAATGTTGCCAAACTGTTGGACGACGCGACCAATGTACTAGTTTGATAGTTTCTCAACTTAAACTAATTAATTTAAGAGTTTGAATATTACAGGTCCGTAGACCTGAACAGCTCGACGTGCAGGAGTAGGAACGAGTTGGTTTTTAGTCAGTAAGAGTCTGATGCTCCCTCCCGCCTCACCCAGGCGGGAGATGTCATTCCATGATTAAGGGGTCCATAAAAAGGTCTGTATTTTTTTAGCTGTGTTGCGGATTCGATCCCTGCACGTTTCAACTCTTTGTATCCACAAATTGTTTTTATACGTCGGAGTGTAGTAATATGAACGTGAGTTCGTATGCTTGTGGTGCATCCAGGACAAAATGCCCCGCACGGGCAACGTTTCTAAGAAAACTTATATTTCAACAAAGCCCTAGACCATTGATGGAGCCAGAGGTCTCAGGGATCTACATCTATTCCTAGTATGAAATTGTTTCCAATATATGGCAATGTATATTGTATATGGTTTATCCCTTGTTACATATAGACTATAGAGCTAATGAAAAGTTACATGTAAAGTTACATTGTATAACACATTCACTTTGCTTAACGAAAACTATACGTTTATGTGTAATATAGTGTTTAGTTGTATTCAAATAGACAATCAAATATCATTAGTTTAAATGTGTTAATTTGATTATGGGGCGTGGGTTTTCCAAACTATGACTTTTTGGGATTACCAATTATACTTTTTGTGATACACCTCTTAGGTACATTATTAAGTTTAGTATAAAATAAATGTTGTTTAGAGATGGACCTTGCACTCGGATTCTCCGAGGAGATAATATCACATGTGTAATTAATTAACGACTTGGTTTTTCCATTTCGTCTATTTTAAGATAACATAACATAACATCATCACGCCTTTTATCACGGATATTAATGCCATTGTACTATGCAACATACAGTTTTCACTATTTATGTTACCAGTCCCATGTAATAGGGGGAGACTGGAGAGCCTATTGCCATATACCGGGCACAATTCCAGACTCCGTGCTACTACCGAGAATTTAAAAAACCCAATAATATTTTGCCCGCCTCGGGAAACGAGACCCCTTGCCCAGCAGTCGCGCTTGCGACCACTCGGTCAACGAGGCAGTTTAAGATAAAGTACCTATAAATCTTATACACAAAAATATAACCGAGATATCGGAATAATTAATCGTATTTTCATCATTTATATTCTTTGTAAGACCACAAACCACTTTTGAGGTAGGTAAATAAAAAAGGAAATATGCACTTTAGTTAATGAGTCCATAACCAAAGCATTTCCTTAAATCAACAGCCTTGGCAACAGTGTAAAAAACCAAGTAGTTACCTAGGATATACGGAATATTCATAATTTCCCATAAAACAGTGTCTTCCTTAACTCTTTATCTAGCTGGTTATAGAGTGGTTATAACCAGACTGTTTTTATCAAGTACCTACGTAGTCATATTTGTGATGAAGAGTAAGTTTGTCATTCCATTTTAATACGTCATAGCTCTAAATCCTACCAATATTATTAATGCAATAGTTTGTTTGTTTGTTTGCCTTTTGTTATTCCTTTACGTCAAAATAGCTGAAGGGATCGGATGAATTTTGAGACAGGAGTAGATTCTGGTGTGGAATATAACATTGGCTATTTTTTATACCAAGGAAAGCATTCGAAGCCGCTGGCAGATGCTAATCATCAACAGCCTATAAGTGCCCACTGAGCAAAGCCTCATTTCACGCGGAGAAGGTTTGAGCATTAATCACCACGCGTGCTCAATGCGGGTTGGCGATTTCAAACTAGAAATTATAAGTCCAGGTTCCCTCACGATGTTATCCCTTCACCGATTGTCTTCTTCTTCTCTTCTGCTTCTCATGCATAAGAAGTGGGTATTTTAACCTCCGGGCCACCATGACCGGGCATGATGATGCTAGTAAGTAATAGTAATCAGAAGAACAAAACATGTACGTCAATGTTTCTCAATCTAACCTGACTACCTCACTTTACTACCTAGGTTATCACTTCGTCATTTCATTCCTACAGACATTGTCTATTAAAATTTTCTCGACACGGGTCAGTGACCAACTCGTCTCATAGTTTTCGACACAAGACCTAGCTTCTAAATTATTTGTAAACCAATCTCAATCGGCGACAGATCTTCAATGGAGCGTCGTACGAATTGGTTGTCGCAACGTAGTTGTGTTTGTCCAGGCTTCAGTGATCGTAACCTCGTTTCAGACACACAATCGTTATAATTCTAGCATTGTTAGGTTCTAGGCTGTGTATTATGTGATCTAATTCAAAGTAAATGCCTTGTTTGTGTAATGTTTGCTGGTGGCATTATGGTAAACGAAGCTCTTGATTTGATGGTGTTTGTTCGTGGTGTGGTGATACATCATGTCGTTTAATATCGAAATACTTGTTTTTTGTTAAAAT